AGAACGATTTTAAACATAAAGAGACGCCTTCTTTAATTCATTACAGACTCTGAAGAAGATTTACTGAACGTTTTCTAACATGTATCAGCCTAACGCCGCGAATAGACACCGTACGGTGTCCGGGCGGTATCCGGTACGGAATAGTCTATGCAAACGAAAATAGAAGAAGGGACACACGAGGTGCGGGTCCGGACAGGGTGCGGACACCAGTCGTTTCTTCTATTTTCTACTGTATCGTACTATGCATAGGACACCGTACATCGTCTATTCGCACCCTAAGGTAACGTACAAGTATCAAATATTCACTGCACACTGTTGCGGTTGCGTCACACTATCATGAAGTTGCAGAGATGGCCAAACGTATGTACTGTGAATCTTTATTGAGCTAGATTATGAAATTTAGGGCTGTAAGGGGAGTGCCAATCTTATCAAAATTTGATAACAATTTCTTTTCGTCTCTTTCTGATGTTTTCCGTGCTTATTGTAATCTAACAAGTTTTTCTACCACAGTCCAGTTCTAATAACGTTATTTCTTAACCAATCAAATCGTTTCATGTAGAATCTGTTTCCAGATAACACAACGAATTGTGGAATAGAACCCGAACGCATACTATATGGACATGCGTGTGGGTATATTTACAAAACAAAACTAAATATATCACGTGCAAGCATGTTGATTGGCCGATTTGAAAATCACATGAAATCATGAAGGTGTATCATCTCGGTCGCTAAAACAAGATTTACCTACTAAAGTGAAACACGGCAGAAATATGACCTTAAACGGAAAAAAGTCGTTTAAATACTTTATCCTTGATCGCATTAGATTTAACATTTCTGTTTTATAAGATCATTTTGTAGAATACAGCCATAGGTACCTTAACTCATTTATAAAGATTTTCTAAAATAAATGACAAACAAATGATAGACCATTCATACGGTCTTCTCTCCTTTTTTGCTCTCAAGCGTTCGGTTTTGTTGATATTGCACAGGCCACGTACGCTACTGATGAATGTGAAGAGGTTTTCTAGATTTTTTTATGTGTATCAGAGCCATTTATGGCTTCTAATTGGATTGTTTCAATTTTCCATCAGATGTCTGG